TTCTAGCCCGGCCCGTGGCATTTTAATGGACCTGAGTCCGGCTAAAATGATATAGACGTGATGGGCCCTGTTGAGATCTATCATTTGATATAAAATCCGTCAAAATATCTTGTTCTGAAGCCGAGTCATCTGCCGGCCCGCAATCTGGGCCGGCCCGATTGCAACGATGCTATTTTTAATGATTTTTCAGAACTTTTTCCAGTTGATCTACTTACATTTAACAACATCCTTGACCTCCTGTTCGGTCCAATTCGCATCACATCTCACTTTGCCAGATCGACTGGCTCCAGATGCCGCAACTGCAGTTGACACTGGCATTGTCGTTTCGGTTTCCCAGGGATGCGATTTCATCGTTTTCTCCTTCATTTCAGCCATGAATTTTCGCATTGCATCCACTTCTTTCGTTCGAATACTTTTGTAGATGTGGTCGGTTCGAGCGCGTAGGATTCGAGAACATTCCGAGATTACTCTAGAAAAAAATTAAGGGTTTAGGGATTTAAAGCTGAAATTCGAAAATTTGTTCGAAAAATAAAAAAAAAACCAAAAATTCGGGAAGTTTTCCAAATTCCGAAATTCCCAAGAAACCAAAAATCGAAAAACTCTAAAAATCAAATTTCAAAAAATTGAATTTTTAAAATTTAAAAAATTTTTAAAACTAAACAGAATTTTAGAATTTCTGACTTTTCGATTTTCTGAATTTCTATATTTGGTTTTTTTTTTCGAATTTCCAATTTTTTAGAAAATCGATTCTATGGAAATTCTAGGCCACCTAAAACCATTTTAGCCTTCAATGTGGCGGCCTAGAACTCCAAACGTCTGGATTTATAGACCACCGACGTTTTGGATGGCCAGGGAAAAACTATTCTAAGCCTAGGCCATCTAAAAATGAGCGGGAAATCATGTCAATTGATCGGTGGCCTAGAAATCCAAATTATTGAGTTTCTAGGTCATCCCTTTTGGCCTAGAATTTTGTGTTTTTGACCCTGAATGGTGGCCTAGAAATCCAAAAATCTTGATTTCAAAAATCTTTGAAAAAACTCAAAAAAAAAACGCACTGGTTCTCCTCCATACACTTGGATTGTTTTTTTCGGCTAATCAACGGAATATATCCGGCCGCTCGTTTCCCGACATTCTTCATTCGATTCTCGACTTCTGGCATCGAGAAGTCACGTGTCATTCGGCATGTGTTCTCATCGATTGGATCCTCAAAATCGTCGGTTTCAATTGGCGACGTCTCCTTGTAGGATTCAGATGGCGTCGCGAGAATGTCGGTTTCTGGAAAGATAGGGGTGTGCGGTGGCCTAACTTTTTCAAGTTTGGTTTTCTAGCCCACCATGCTAAATGACCTAAAAATGGTCGGGTATAACCCTGGTGTGTTTTCTAGGCCTTTTTTAAGTGGTGGCCGAACTTTTTCAAGATTGGTTTTCTAGGCCACCACTTCAAAATGGCCTAAAAATGCCCTAAAATGACCCTGGTATGTTTTCTAGGTCATTTTGACTCGGTGGCCTAACTTTCGCAAATTGATTTTTCTAGGCCACCATGGTAAATGACCTAGAAATGCCCTGACATGCACCTGGTATGTTTTCTGCGCCAGTTTGACTCGGTGGCCTAACTTTCGCAAGTTTGGTTTTCTAGGCCACCAGGGTAAATGACCTAGAAATGGAATCATATTCCCCTGGTGTTTTCTAGGTCATTTTGACTCGGTGGCCTAACTTTCTCTGGATTTTTAGGCCATCACTTACCAACAAACAAACACTCGTCGTCGTCCTCGTTGACCTGTGGCATGATATCCTGTAATCCAAGGCGTTCAGCAGCCTTTCCATCGCTGGGCTCCGCGAGTCTATCGTAATCCACAAGGTAGTCGCGCATGTCTGAAAAACGCTTGGGTTTCTAGGCAACCTGGAGGTTCTTAGGCCATCAAAGCAAATGTGGTGTCGATGGCCTAGGTTTAGGAATTTCTAGGCCATCTAGGTTTGAAAAGATGGCCGAACTTTCGAGGTTTCTAGGCCATCTAAACTACGCAAACTTGATGGCCTAGAACTCCTCTTTGATGACCGAACTTTCCCACTTGGAGGTTTCTAGGCCATCAAAACTTACACTCTCTGGCGATGACTTTTTGGTTGGGTGTGGATTTCAAATAGGCGCGATGCGAGATTTGCGGACGAGATTTACGCATGATTCGGAAGTAGAAGATGCACGAATGACACTCGTAACGAGACATGATCAAGTTGAACTGAAAAACGGTTTTATGGTCAGGGAGAGGGGGTGGCCTAGAAATTCAAAATTCTGAATTTCTAGGCCACGGTGCTTCTGAATGACCTAGCAATGCGATTTTTGCAGAGGCCATTTAAAATGAGCTGAAAAGCATGCCAATTGAGCAGTGGCCTAGAAATCCAAATTATTAGTTTCTAGG